CCACAGCATGACACGACAAAAACCAGCTACACAAACAGACCACAAGAGCTCTGAAAAAAGTCTGCTTTAAAATGCAGTGAAACCAAGTCTCATATTATAGCTATTTCTTTGCCTCTGCTTTTATTAGTCGTATTTTCCTTCTGTCTCACAGATTTGTAATTAGATTAAATAACCAATGCTATAATGCTTTAAAAGTTTCTCATGTGTTTACCACATATCAAGAAACAGATTTTTTTTCCTTTTGTGTTTAATGGCATAGTCTACATAAATACACAGTTCTAAGAGGGATATTAAATGGAATCTATACTGTTACGTATGAAAGCGATCACAGTCTAAACTAATGCCAAAGAGTAATTACAGCCTTATTGCCTTGGCTTGTTTGGCATGTCATAAATGTTTTTACAATGGTTCTTAGGAGATCAAGAGTCAGAAAACAAATTTCTGCAAGTTGTGGAGAAATTACTACAGCCTGTTGAGGCCTTCCTCAAACTGCAGTGTTGGGAAGACATTTCTCTGAGCTGTAAATGCTATTTGTCTGCTGGACAAAATTCTTTATCTAATACTTAATTACATTTCAACAAACACCACGGTATATAAGAGTAATTAAAAAATGCTGTTGTCCATGGAGTTAACTTTTGGAGTTAAAACCATTAGAGATTATATAGGATCCATTCATTTGTTTCCTAGAGATTTAGCCCTAAGCAAAGGACCAGTGCAACCTCTGTGAAATGTTCTTCTGTGAGACAGAACCTGTGTCACATAAAAAAAGGACTGCAACTTGTCCCTCTAAATTGATGCTTATGAAGGACAAATTCTACATATACTTATTTTTTGAGATTCAAGAAAGCAGGATTTTTTTTAATCTGTGAGACTGAAAAGAATGCAAAGGAAAAGATATTGCCAGCAGTCACACTGTTTGATGGAGAAGAGCTACAGGTAATTTTGTTGCCGTGGAACAAAGTGTGAATTGCACAGGACACAGGAAAAAAGTTGAAGTATATGCTGCAAACTTTTTCACTAATGGATTTTTTCTTCAGACCTTAGACAATGGGGTTTCTTTTCATGATGCACTAGCCCTGGAGGTACTCTCAGGAGACATTAATAAGACAGTATTGTTGGATACCACATATTGCTACACACAATGGCAGAGAGGATTTTCATTAAAGGCAGACACTGTCATACCACTTTGCATAACTTTCCCAGAAAAGGAAGACCTTTCTTTTTCACCATTTTCAGCCATTTTTCTGTGTCCCAGGGGACTTCTAACTAAACAGAAGAAGAAAATATTGGAAATGAGTGTGACATCAAAATAGTAATTGTACTGAGCATAAATACAGAAGCTAAGAAGCTATCCAAAGATAAAAACTTGGCACACGTGAATTTTGGCATAGAAATTCTTCTGCCCTGATAGTTCCTTATACCAATTCAAGCATGAATCAAATAGCAGCAGTATTTATCAGTTGGTGACAACTGAAACCAATAGTTAGAATGTACTGATTTTAACAAACATTTTCATTGCATAGCATACTGTGTCCCCAAACCTTACAGCTGGCAGGGACATTTTAAGGGCATCTAATTTAAAGCATTCTAGAAGAAATCCTCTCGGGGCAATACATTTATATGTCAGTGATTTTGATATGAGTATGTATTTGGTGTAAAAGAATTACCTTTTCTTTAAAATCCAATAATTCCTACTAAAAAAAATCTGATCTGTAAAATTATAATTTTTTGTGATAATTGGAGAATCTTTAGTACGTTGGTTGCTTAACTTTTGTGTTTAATATTTATGTTAGATCAAGAAGAGTTCCCCTGTTTTTCATCTCTATGACCCTAGAATTTTTATGAAGTGTTTCTAGGATTGTTACTTTGTGAAGGCAAAACAATAAAAAGGGATGGCAAAACAATAAAAAGGATGGATACGTGTAAATTGCATTTTCTCCTTGAATTTAGTGATATTCAGTTTTACCTTTATATATACAAATATCCATTTGAGAATGCAGATAGTCTTAAAACCACAGACAAAGCTCATTAATTTCAGTGAACAGAGAAATTGTTTCTAATATTCTGATGTTCTTAAGTATACCTAATAGCGCAACAGCCAAGAGAAAACAATCTTGAAATTAATGTTTGTCATCTACCATGAAAATCCACAGTGTATCTCAACATGTTAGATTTCATGCTTCAGTTTTATGCTTAAATTAGAATTTAATTATTCAAAAGTGCTTAAATTCTTCAACTCTGTGGCTAAGTTCCCAAGCAATTTCAAGGATTATTTAAACAAATTGAGCTCCTGAGTTTGAGACTTGTCCATGAGGAAAAAAAACTGGCTATTTTCCATTTGAAATTGGTACATGGCATACATTCCATTCAGGACACAGTAAAATCTGTAAAAAACTACACAATAATTACAGACCTCTGATAAAGACAAATAAAGAAAAGGATTTAATTTGATTAGCCTCCAACTGCATTCATTTAACTCATCTGGGAACTATCCAGCAATAATTCTTCCAATGAAGGTCATAATTCTTCTTTAATTGTTTCCACCTGGTACAGTACTGTCAATCCCCTGTTCTCCACCTTTCTGCACTTGGCTCCCAGCCCATCACTCATGCCCTCCCAGTATTCCCTTGCACTATCATTAAGGAGCAAGGGAAAAGAGGTTTGGTTATTTTTGTTGCGACACATCACAGAACTTCCAGCTTGGTTTCCTCCTTTGCTGGATGATTTCCCTGTGTTCAATCCCTATTTCTGTTTACACTTCCTAAGAACTAATTCCTGCCCTTTTTCTGCTACATTCAGACATGCTGAGCTTTTCCTTACAACCTGTCCCATACCCCAGTATTCTGCAAAGTTGACTTTTCTAACTCTTCCTTTTCTGCCCTTTTTATAGTCCTCCCTATGCATCACCCCCTGCTACCCCCTCAAAAAATCTCAAACAGTTAACAAAAATTCTTTAGCAGACAAAAATCTTCACTAGAAAATTAATGTACAAACAAGAGACTTAAGGCTCACTAAGTCAAGCATTCAAAACACTCATTCTACAAAGACAAAATCCCTATACTTAGGCAAACTCCATCGCTTAGCATGCTAACCCGAGGCATGCCTTGTTATGTTCCCAGGTATCATGAGGAGAAAAGGGAGACTACGGGACCCTAAAGAAATTAACCTCAACAAAGGCAACTTCTTACTTCCCTTCCTAGCACATTACCTTCATGATTGCAGTGACTTCATTTGGGGAGTCAGACTGTATACATGAAATCCGGAAGAGTTCTGTTACTGGTCATTTTTCTCTGAGAGACTTTTATCATATTTCCTCATTGGAATTATCATGAAAATAATTTTATTTTTGGAGCATAAATGCAGTCTGCACACTAGCAAGCTTACACACTTTATAGTAAATATGTGGTTAGGCAGTAAGCAGTAAACATTTTTGAAGAAAACTTAATTTGTTTTCAATCAGACCAGATAAGAGTGATTATTAATGATGGTGAATATATTTATCCAGCAACACAGGCTTGCCTAGACAGGAAATTTTGTATTAGTGGAAGAGAATTTCTCAGTTTATTGATTTATGTCTAAACTAAATGAGAACATGTTCTATTGCTCTTGAGGTGGATGGCATGAGATTGAAGTAGGTATTTTAATATCCTGTTTAATGTCGAGTTAGAAAATTAGGTTCTTCCTCAACCTTTGAGTTTTAGTCATAAAAGACTGATGGTTCAGGACCTCCCAGTGTTTCACCATATACCATCTATTCAAATGGAATGGGCTGACAGCCCTAGGCTGCAAAAATCCTTAGCTGTTTATGGGAAAAATATTTCCTGTCCATTGGATTGTGAAAGGAGCTAATAATTTTGAATGAATTAATGTAAAGCTATTTGTATATGTTTTTTAGATATGCTAAAGAAAGTGAAAACCTAGGTAGCATTGCTAATAAGATTTGTCTGGTAAAATAGATTATACAAAAAGAAAACACATAAGGGAGAAATGAGTCCTATCAGAAAGGACAAGAAAATTGAACAGGGAGCTTCACATTTTGGGACAAATACTTGCACTTACACTACTGCTGAAGAGAAAACGCATATCTAGTCACATGAAAGGCCCTTCTTCTCCACCTATAGTACTGAAGATAAAAAGGATCCTATCACACATTTACAAAAGGAAGATCTCACACTTCCCATTGCTTAAGCAAGTGTGACACACTATTCAATAGAACAGATTATCTTGTTGATTGTTTCTGAAATTTTTGCACAACATTACCTGACAACAAATTGGTTTAAGAGACTGAGCAATAATGATTCTGTAATTTTTCTTCAACGTTCAATGCCTTCTGGAAACCATACTGCAGATCATTCTCCTAAAGATACCTTTGATGTCCATAAGTCTCAGCAAAGTGCTTCTATTAAAAGACTGTCTTTCAGTTCAGTTTGTTTATTTCAATTTGTTGTATATACACCACATTTTCAGCTCAGAGCAAGAAGATGAATGAACATAAATAATGACACATTTGCAGTAAGTATTTTGTGGTGAAGACCTTTAGTAAGATACTGTGGTTTTAATGCAACCACAACACAATGACAAACTTCCTTTGTAAATGACAGATCTAATCGTAAAGTTAAAATTATAGTTCCATGAAAAAAACCAAGCACTGAAGACACAGTATGTTGGCATGTGGCTGTATTCCCAACAAAACCATCCCTATTATTCATGAATTGATTTACACTTTTTATCTTTCCATAACATGCAGTATTTATTTACCCTTACATTTTGAGGTATTACAGTTTCTGCTGACACGAGTATTTTCTTAAAATAGAACATTACAGCAGTCCCTGCTAGATGTTTAAGCCATGTGTATGTTTATTTTTAATTTTTTTTCTTGAACTTTCTAACTGTGAGCAGGCTGGGAATGTAGAGTCATGATGAATGAGAGTTTGCTTTATTAAAAAAAAAAGAGAAATGTAGACATTTGATGTAACACTGAAAAATTCACAGCCTCCTACCTTAAAAACAAACATTTCCCGGCGAAGAATAGCCAGAGTGTTGAAGTTCCCATCACAGATGTTAGGCTTGGCTCCGGGATAGGAAGGTTTGTCACCAGTGGGTGGCCGGGGAGGTTTAGGTTGCCTGTCATTCTTCCGTGGGTCTGCTGGAGGGACTGAACGATGTGGGGGCACTGTGGGCAGAGGTCTTGTTGGTGGTGGTATCCTGTCAGGTGGACCTTTAAAAATACAGCAGCTGGATGTAATACATAAACCCAATAAAGAAAACATACACAACAAAACCAGCTGTAAGCTGCACAAACCTGACAGTGAAAGGGATTGAAAAAGTGACCTAACATATCTTTCTGATGTTATTAAATCATTGAATCATAGAATCACAGAACATGCTAAGTTGGAAGGGACCCATTAGAATCACTGAGTCCAGCTCTTGGCCCTGCCCAGCACACCCCAAGAGCCACATCATGTGCCTGAGAGCACTGTCCAAGTGCCTCTTGAACTCAGTCAGGCTGGTGCGGTGACCACTTCCCTGGGGAGCCTGTTCAGTTATCAACCAGGCAGTGGTTATAAAGGGTATAAAGAATGACTACCAAAACCAAGGAAAATAATTAGTTTTCATTATCCAAAATCTTCCTTTTTGGAACAACATTCCCATAAAACCTTCCAAGGATGCCTAGGCCACCATCATTTCAGATGAGAAATAGTTCAAAGCAAATTATTTACCAACTGAATAAGAACTCTCATAACAGAATCATTTTCTCTCATACAAAAAATGAAAAAAGATCTTGTTCCTTATAAGATCATTATCAGTCAATAGATTTTCAACATATAGTTTTAATCTATAGTCATCAATTCACACAGGCACACGCATAGCATACCTGCTACTTACTACTGACAAAATTTTTAGATTGAGTGACGTCATATTCATTAGAGACAGGACAATCCCAGCTTTTTCCAATGTCCCTTGGTATGTACAGCAGCTCCTAAAACTGGACCTCAAATTCTAGGCATGTGTACAACACACATACCCCATCACCCCCCTGCCAAGATTTACATATTTTCTTCAAGTGAAAAACTAAAACTCTGTAGAGCAATCTTAAAACATTTTTCTTCTTTCAAATATATTATTTTTCAAAACATACTGAGTTTCATGAAATTACTATGCCACTTATAGTTTCTCTACCTGCAAGTCATCAGGCCATCCCAGAGAGATACTGATCATAACCCTAATGGCATACTCAATGACTGGAAATGAGTGTACTGAAAATGCCTGCCCCTCTCTACACATATCAGCAACATTTATTTCTCATGGACAAAAAGATAAGAAGCTTCACTTATAGCTTCACATCTGGAAACAAGATGAATGTTTTCATTTTTGCTCACTCTATTTAGGTTTCTCTCCAAATAATTTAAATAGATAATACACGTTGACTTAAAAAAATAAATACTGTTTGCATGACCACCTTCAGAAACACTTTTGAATAGTAAGACAACTCTAAAACTGCAAAAATGACATTTGAATTTCTGAGAATTTTATGAAAAACCACATACTTTATAAAAAAAAAGATGGATTACATAGGGAAATATTAAACTTGCCAAATGGTTTTCATGCAATTTACTAAGGCATTTATTTCATTCACAATTTTAAGACTTGTGACATTTATAATTTACAGTTAATAAGAGTATTTCAAGGAATAATGCAGACCAAAGTAATTATTTTAATAGGTGTGACATTTTTATTGAGGCATATGATTTCAGATCACATCTTTATTTTAAAGGGAACAAAGGAATCAGTTTGCAGTAGCTTGTGTTGGAAAGTTTTTAAGTCCAAATCAAAGTTTTTTTATGCCATTTGGTGGTGATGTCAGATATTACTTCCCAGGGGCAACACATTTCTCCTAATGTATAGCCCACAGCTGTTCGAGCTTAGCAGCTAGTTTTCAGCAAAATATTCTTGTCTAGCCCTTAAGTCTAGACTACCAACTTATGAGGTCATGAGAAACAACCTTCCTTCCAGCTAATCACACAGGAAAAAAAAAAAAGCAACCAAACAAATCTTGATCAGCCAATCATTCTGAAATTGCTAGTAATGCTTTACGAAAATATATATCTGTGCTTGTGAATATGATATTTTAAAATTCTTGTTACTATTACACCAGTCTGCAGATTTCTAGTTAGCAGTACAGTAATTCTACACGATCATAGTTGTCCTTTCTGATAGGAAAGATAAAGAATGGCCCTCACAATAATCAACAGAAAGGCGACAAACTTTAAACAGGAAAAACTGGAAGTACAGAATTTAATGAAGTGCAGATTTAATTAAGGAATATTAATCAAGGCAATATCAAATTATATGCACTGGATAGAGAGCATAACACAGAGATACAACAGATTTTTCAATTCTAAAGATCAAATAAATCTTTGAAGAAAAAAAAAAATTAAGACTATTTAACATATACCAACAGAATCAAAGTCATTAAAACCAAAACTAAACTGTCGTTGGAAGTTTAAGGGATAGTAATATGGGAGCTAGTATTACATTCGACCCATAATCGCAACTATGTTACTGTTTTGAATTTTAAAAAAAATTTCAGTTGCCTTATTAAATGCAGAATTTATTGGCATCACATGTATTTTATATCAGGCCATAAAAAACCTAAATTAACATATTTTGAAGAAGTAGTCCCTTCTTTACTCTCTGTAGGGACTATAACACTATTTTGAGATCAATTTGTGATATATAAGAAAGGGTATTTACGGGACCTCAGATTTTGGAGGAAATTTTCTGTATTATAACTGATAAACTGAGAAGCAAACAATTCATCCAGTTACATGAGCTTGGACACCTGTGTAAACAATCTCATTATAGTTAAAGACCTGCATTTCTTAATATTTTCATGGTTTGGAATAATTTTGCATGAATTTTCTTTATGGATTTTTAAGACATTTAAAATTACTATTCCAGATGAGTGCAGATTTGAATATAAGTTTTGAACAGTGACAAACAGAGTAAAAACATCCTCAAAATCTTTGGATGTTTTACTCACACAGAGACTCTGGCACAACAACTGGTGAAGTCCACACTAAGGAACACTTTGGAGGGGTGATATGGCCAGGAGCACCTCAAAGTCATTCTAAACCAAAAAGCTTGTGTTGTCTGATGAGAACACAACGTACCGTATATCTTCTGGATGCCCTGTAAATCGTCATTAGGTAGTTTGAAGTTGTCAGTTTCCATATATTGGTAAAATGGAGCCATGATTGCAGTGGGATCATTGGAGTGCTCCAAGCCCAGAGCATGTCCGAGTTCATGCACTGCAACTAGAAAGAGATCGTTTCCTGTGAAGAGAAGGAAAAGAAAAGGACCTTTGAATCCACAAAGTTAGTAAAAAAAATAACACACATGGAGGACTCTGGACTTGCAAGATGTTTTCACTGCATTTGAGTTTCACAAGGTAATGAGTAATAATTAATGGATCATCAAGGATATCAAGGATAATGTGTCAGAAAAGGCATTTTTCTCTCTCTCTCTCCTTTTTTTTTTTTTTTTTTTCCCTAGAAAGGAAACCATTATGCTATACTTTCTGGTACTCTTACAGTCATCACAAACATAAACCTTTTTTAATTGATACACATGGTAAGTGTAGGGTTCAAGTGCCAGAGCTCTCTGGGCTTTCATGCAATTTATAACTTGAAGTTGATGTTGCCATGAACCAAACTAAAAATGCTTTCATCCAGACATAGTTCCAATAGGAAAATATCTTGGCTTTGTTTGGTAAATTTCACAAACTAAAGAGTACCTACTTAGGATAAACCCCACAGAGAACTTAGTCATTCAAACACTTGTAATCAGACCCCTGCTAATTATATGTAGATGCTGTCCATTTCTGAATCACTGTAACAGAAATCCTAATGAGGAAAATAGATGTCCTAATATATACCCCTGTGCAATTCCTTGTAATAACTGTAGTTTTCTATTTAAGTTTTAGAGCTTTTTTAATTTTTATTGGACTAAAGAAAAACCCCAAGACCATGCACTCACATTATAGACCAGTTCAATGTTTTTGTTATTCTCTTCTCAAAGTATCTTTATTTTTTTTTTTACAGAGTATTAGATACAACTGGAAGATTTGGCAGTAGAATATGGCACTCTTCTGAAGCAAACACAAATCAAAGCCAATGGGATCTTTTCTAAAAAAACGTTTCAGAGCTGGACCTCTGTTTTGTCTATTTTTGCTCATCTTAGATTTTGTTCTGCATATCTTTCTATGAGTCTTTCATACAGATTCTGTTGTACTTATCCTGTCACAAGATGAGACTTTGGAAAAGTGGTTTAGATCAGAAGAAAGATTCCAGTTGTCTGAAAAGGGTCACATACAGAGTATAGCCCATTTCACTACCTAGGGATGGGAAGAACCATCCTCCAGAAATGTGATAATGTCCCGCTGACAAGAGAAGTACTCTAGATCAGCAGCTTATGCTGACCATCTAATTTTTAAATGCTGAACTCATGTGAAACTGGTGTCACCTATAGTAAGTAGTTTGTTGTTGAAAGTATAAATAATGAGGGGCTTATGCTCTGGCCTAATAGTCATATATTGGTTTGGAATATGAAAAAAATGCTCAACCTTAGCTCTTATCCTATAATCTGAAGATCTTTAGAGATAGACAGTTATTTTCCACTGCTGGAACTTGATCTGGAAGTACTTTTAAAATGTCAGTAGTAATAATAGTAAGTTGCATCAGCAACAAAATTGCACATATATACATTACAGAACTTCGAGGACATAGTTGACAGTATTTCAATTTCTCAAGCATTTCCTCTTGTTGCCACAATAAACTTTATCCAAAGTACATATGAAAGAGGAAACACTAAATGCCTTCATGATGATGAAGCCATGCTGATGTCTGTAGAATAAATGCTTGAATGAAATCATGAAAATAGACAAAAGTAAAACTATATGCTTAGTTCACAGTCTTCTCATAACTTCTGGTTCTTAATTTGAAAATATGACAACTAAATGTTCTTGATCTTCTATTCAATATAACTGTGCAAAAAAATCACATCTTTCAAAAATTAATATGACATAATGTGCTTTTAGAAATGAGAAGTTTATCCTATCATTTATAATTATGTGGTTTTCAGACGAAATGTTTTATGACAATATTTTTATTGGATGCAGCTTTTTTTACAGCAAAGCAGAATCTCAATGTGCTGTTTCAATAGGTTTGATAAGCCTGACTGTCCTGATGACAAATAGTCTTGGTATCTGAATCTGACCTTCTATATGCAGACAAAACTGATCTTGACATCATCTCATATGAATAACCCACAGCTTCTGTAGCTAACATCAGCATCGGAAATGATGCACAGAAAGAACTTTGTAAAGGTTTTCATTCTGCACTTATAATGGAATAATTAATGTAATTTTAAATAATCATAGGTTTAAGATGGAAAGACAGAAGAGAAGAGCATGTTACCGTACTACAGCTTTCACACTATGATGAAAAGTCCCACATTATTTTTCAATTCTTTTCTGAGGTTTGTGAAAGTTCTAAAGTAGGCTTATTAGAATGCAAAATTTCTTTCCCTGGTATTAACTTGAATATTTAAGAACCAACATTCTTTTTCTTTTCAGATCTTCTGAAAGCAAATTTTTTCCTATACCCATTATTCCTACATCATAATTAAGAATATTAACTAAGTCTTATATTAAAAAAATGCACTAACAAGTTGGCCTCATTTTAGTTACTGAATTATTTTCAAATAGTTTTGAAATAAGAGTATTTATTCTAACACTATCATTAGGCTTGTTAATGTCAGTAGATGAAAGAGTTTTCTATGTTTTACTTCTACTGTTTGAGGCAGGAAGTCTGGGAAGTTAACAAGTTATAATTTCTAAAATTTCAAGAAACTGCAGTTAATCAACAGTCTTGGAAGAGTCTACTACTTCCATTTGTGCCATTTATGCAATACATGAAGAATCAATACATCCATTGGTTTTCAGCCCTTACTGAGTCCCCTTACAGATTTCCAGCAATTTCTACATTATGTTCCATGTTGATCTGAAAGAGGTGAAATACATAGTAACAGGGAAATAAATAAAACCCGACTTTCAGCTACTGGCATTCTCTTTCCAGAATCACAGGTAATGAGCATATGGTACAGCACTTCTAAAGTAGTACTAAGTGACAGTGGGATCATGTCAGAAAAGTGATCTTATGCAGGGTCTGGCTGTTTCTCCTTTTATCTTTTGGATAGGGGAGATTATTACTATTATTTAAAGAGAAAACAAAAAACCAAACCAAAACAAAACAAAAATACCCCAAACCGACCAAAAACCAACAAAAATCCCCAAACATTGCATTCAGTGTCTGACTGTCCCTCTGGATTTAGTTATTTCCACCTCATGCAATGCAACTTGTAGCCATCAGGGGAGCCATTAAGTGTGGCAAAGGCAGAACAGCCCTTGAGCAAATGAATAAGGGGGAAGGGAGAAGGTCACAGGAAAGAACTGGGAGAATAATATTCTTGCCTGGGGTGACAATGATTTAACAGGGAACATATTTTCTACTCATAGCCAAATAGCCCCATTATTCATAGCAATTTCCATCAAGAGTCATAATTGTCTCCAGGGCATCCTGAATTTGAACTGACCCAAATAACTTAGTGCAATTGAAACTCAGGTTTAAACCAGCTCAAGATGAGCTGTCTGAGTCCAGTACAGGTATGGCCTTATTACTATCTGAGTTTCCATCCTTTTTGCTTTGCATACGATTAGATTTCTCTAATTAGGCAACAATTATTCCGTGCCTCTGCTTTAGGGAGCAGACTTGCCCTGAGTACCTCAAAGCTCCTGAGAGTGCAGAAGGACAACTTTCTGTAAGTCTTGCTCTTTTTCTCAAGTCTGCACAGAAGTGTATTTGTGACTGCAAGGTCAGTGGTAGCCCACCTTCAATTCCTTGGTCAGTGCTCAGAATAAGCTGAAGAAGCATAAAAACAAGTGAGCATTCATATTCAGGCTAGCCTATCAATTCAGGTTATCCTATCAATACTGGGGAGTTTTTACATTTTCAGTTGCCACCGTTGAAGGAGAGAGTCCCAAATCATTTTGTATTTCATTATACATTATCCAAGTGGGACATATTTCAGTCCACATGGCAAAATGAAGTACCATCACAAACTTCAACAAGTCCTAACAGAGTTAAAATACATATGACTACAGTGGTTTTTAAAGCAAATGTTGCCACCTAGGATATACAATGGTGTGTATTCATTGTCATAGACTCAGTTGCATCTTGTTGTATACCCACAGAGTAGCAGAAAAATATTGGAAAATATATTTCACAAGTCCAAAACTTGTGTGTCTCTATTCTTGTCTTCCCCATTAGCATGGAGATTTGGAATAGAATGACTGTAAGCTCAAAAAGTTTGTGATTGTTTTTTTATCTCCAGTTTGATTTCACAAGGGAAGAAAAAAAAGATACCGTGTGTAAAGAACTAAGATAAAATTATTATTTTTATACTGACACTTTTCTCTGAGGCTATAAACTATTTTAGGCACTAAATCTGCCTGACTTTACAAACTGCCCAAGCTCCAGAATATAAATATGTATTAATATATCAAATATTCAACAGCTAGCAGTGTGGAGCATGTTGTATGGGGAAACCTTTCCCTGTAGCTAATATATACACTATTTTTCACATCTACAGATAAACAAAGCTAATATATTTGTCCACAGTAAGCTATTAAAACCCAGCTTTGAAGATAATAATTTCCATTTTAAATGGTATGTGAGTTCAATTTATAAAAGCAATAACTTAATGGCTTAACATGTGACCTCAATTTTGAAGACTTTTCCATCCCAAGGAAAAGAAAAGGAAACCCTAGAAACTGAATTTCAAGTTACTAACAATTGTAAAAATACAAAGATGTTTTATACATAGACATACACTTTTACTTCCAAAGAATATTTTATTTCATTTTTCGTGATGTAGATGGATGTTTTCTAATTAAATTCACATCAAACTGAAATTTAAATCTGCACAAGACTTCTATTGTCGACCTATTACAACAAGACTATCTCAAAGGCAAACTTACAATTAATCAGAAATACTACATACACACAAAATACCCATTGCTTTCGGTTCGATGTATGTAGAAGTTTCATTTTCATTATTCTGTTCCTTTTTACCACCTAATGCATTCAAACAGCTGAAGTGCTACAAAGTGTAAAGTAAGAGTCTTACTCTATATATCATACAAAAAAAAAAAATCTTTGTTATCTCTGTTACTATTATCCTTTCCAGACAGGACAGAATTTTGAAGATGCTATTT